CCTTTAAGAGGGACAGCCTGGGAAACCTATGGAGGCACTGAGGCTTTTTATCAGGGGTCCTCAAACTTTAAACAGGGCCAGTTCACTGTCCCTCAGACCCGTTGGAGGGCCAGACTATAGTTTAATAAAAATATGAACAAATTCCTATACACACTGCACATACCTTATTTTGAAGTAAAAAACAAAATGGGGCAAAAACACCCAGCGGCCTGGATAAATACCCTCAGTGGGACGCATGAGGCCCACGGGCCGTAGTTTGAGGACACCTGCTTTTTATCTTAAACCCACTGAGGTGAGGTCACTTGTCAAGTGTTAGCAAGCGATACAGTCGGATCGAACCTTGGGTTTTCTGACTTGGGTGCCTTTTTCACTGCACCACAGCCTTCTCTCCCAGTGGGAAATTGAAGCCTTTATTATCCCAAACTCATTGCTGTGGAATCCATAGGGCAAAGTACGTAGAACTGCCCCTCTGGGTTTTAGAATCTTTACCAAAGCAGAGCGCCTTGTCTTACCCCCAGGAGCGGCTGGTGGGTTCGCGCCTCTGGTCTTGTAGTTAGCAGCTCAGTGGGTACCCACTCTGCCACCAGGGCTCCTTCCGATGCTGGGCAGTGACCTGCAGGCTGCCTAGCCTCCGACAGACCTTCTGGCTCTTACTGTTACCATAAGCATGGGGCTCAAGATCTTCGGCTGCCCTCCAGGAATGCTTGGCTCAGCCTGTATTTGACTCTGAGAGGGGAATCGTGACACCCCTGGTCTTGGCACACAGCTGGTAACCCGGCTGCCCACTGCAGTGGCTCTGAAGGAAGCTGGCCTATCGGGTCTTTACCGCTTGTATGAAGCTTATTCATTTGACATTTAATTTCAGCCAAAGAGACCTACTTATAAGTAGTTCTTGTACTTAGATATTATTTAGGGTTTACCTGGTTTTATATAGTATGTAACTACATGGGTGTAAGAATTTTTAAAGGACCCAGGTGCATTTTTTTTAATAAGTTTTTCTTTTTTTCCTATTAATGTTTTCTTATTGTGGCAAATCTATCAGTAACTCAACCTTTGCCATGTCAACTACTTTCACATGGACTGTTCAGGGACATTTAATATGTTCATTGTGTTTTTCACCCTTATCAGAAACTCCAGAAAAAAACAAAGCCCCCCACCATCAATTTGATTCCAACTCTCAGCGGCCCTTTAGGGTTTCTGAACCTATATCTTTGGGGGAGTAGACAACCTAGTCTTTTTCCTTCGTGACCACCAAGGCCCCTTTTATAACAGAAGCGCCATGTCCCCTCAATGAAGTATTTTTGAGACAGTTTATGAGCATCTCTCTGATCAGAAATAGATAAGCTTTAAAACTCACAGTGACGCTTGGAACCTTCTCCCTGTTCTAAAACTGATCTGCTGTGGGTTGGTTTCCTTGTCATTGGCTCAGCTGCCAACCTCGTTCTTCCCATGAGATCGGGCTCTCTGTTAACATTCGTAAAGATGCTCCCTTGTCACCTTTTGTGTTGAGGGCCCTTGGGGGTGAAGGGAAAAAACAAAACAAAAAATTCACAGCCCTTGGGTCGATTCTGATGCACAGCCACCCTACAGGACAGGGTAGAACTGCCCCTGTGAGTTTTCAAGACTGAAACTCTTTCAACAGAAGTAGAATGGCTCACGTTTCTCCTGCGGACCTGGCTGGTGGTTTTGAACTGCTGGCCTTGTGGTGAGCAGCCCAAAGCATAACCAAGCGAGCCCCTAGAAGTGGCTGGTGGGGGGGGGGGGGGGGGGGGGTGTGTGTGTAGAGTTTGGAGCCCCTGACTCCGTTGCTCTGGGAGCAGTCCTCTAGTCACAGCTGCTTTGTCATGTCCTCTTTGTGGGTGCCTGTGCTAGGGGGTTTGGTGGTGGAGCTGAGAGGCCGCGAGCACTGGAATTAGAGACACAATCTCTTCTTTTCCTTGTATCTTCCTCAGCGTCTTACTCAGCAGCTCCAGCCCTGCTGTGACACCCCAGAATGTATCATTTTGAAATGTCGCAGCTGCCACTAAGTCCTACGGGAGCGTGGAGCTGGCTGGGCAAGAGGTGCAGGTCAGTGATGGTTTTTGTTCCCACGTGGCTATCTGAGGAAACATTCAGAGTGATGTTTTATCTGCAGTCCAAAGAGTTTTCTGTTACATTTCCCTATGTCGGGAAGAGTGAGTGGGCAAATCAATGAATGGATACCTAAGTGGTTTACAGTAGAGGCGGGTTTCCACACGCAGGTCTCAGTGGGCCCCTCTGGAGAAGAGTAAGTGGGGACGAACTGAAGCTTAACTAGGGAAGTGGTTGTGTGTGTGGGAGGGGCTGAGGGTCTATATCCCCGTCTGCTTGCACCCTTTAGCCAGCCTGCAGCAGAGCAGTTCTGTGGCTTAAGTTCTGGTTGCCTTTAGCACGGGGTCTTTCATAAGAGTACTCATGCAGAACGCTAGCCCTGTAGGTCTCTTCTTTGGGGGTGGCAGAGCGGGGGTCCTATAGCACAGCAGCACACGGTGAAGGGGGATGTGACTGGCTCCTGGGTGCCACGTCTCATCAAGCCAAGCCCTTGCCTGTCAGGATTTTTTTTTTTTAAACATCGTTTTCCTTGTACATACTCCCTAGCTGGGAAGAAAGCAGGTTTGACAATGTGTATGTATATTTTGGCCAGTATTGCTTATAATTCTGTTTGGGCTGAAAGTGGAATTCTTGTAGAAAGGTCATTGCCATGTCAGCCCCTGTCACTTCCAGCCTTGTTAGCCTGGATCTAGTCCACAGCATGACAGGACTGGCTCACCGCACTCACCAAAAAAGGCAAAGAATGTGTCCGCCAGCTGGAGTGTGAGGAGGGGAGGCCGACACCGTTTCCCGCATAGGTCTGAGGGGAGGCCCCAGAGCTGTGCTAGGAGCAGACATCGAGAGGCTTGTCAGCCTGGCACCCTGAGCCCCCCTCTGTGGCCCCTCTGCAGGAGACAGGGTTAAGGTGCCTGCAGGCAAAGCCCTGACATCGTGGCCACCCCAGGAAGAGAGGAGACGAGGCGGCTGCTGGGTGGGGCTGGGTGGGCGTGCAGGGCAGGGCCGCCGCTGCTCTCCCAGCCCTGTAAGTGTGAGATTAAAGGCTCAGCCGGGATTACACACAAGTGTAAGGTGTTTTGAACATGAAACATGCAGCCACCTTGCCACGTCATTTCCTGAGTGATCTCGAGGCTGACAACTGCAATGCGCCTCCTCACGCTGAAGTTGCTTTTAAGTGGGATCTGCAAAGAGGCCTGGACTCCTTGTGAGGCATGATTCTGAACCTCTTCACAGCCCCACACTTTGGCCTGAAGGCAGGCTGATAGGGGAGGTGAGAGAGTCTTGTTTCTCCTGAAGCCTTCTCCCTGGCCTGTCCAGAAGCACGTGGAGAGGGCCCGCTGGGACACCCCCCACCCCCACCACCAAGGGTGGGCTAGTGGAGGCTGCAGTCGGACCTGAGGAGAGCGACATCTGGATTCGCTCTTCATGATTGTGTTGGTTTAAAGGAACGTTTATAGGTGACTATTTGAGACGCCTGAATCTTTACAACATGTTTTTTTTTTTTTTTTTTTTTTAATTTTAAGGCATGGGGGAAGCCATTGAGTCAGTACTTTAGAGCCTTTGTAGGAGCCTCTGAAAGCATTATAGCTTCTGTTTGGCTGTCAGAGTTTACAGTGAATTCCAGCCTGCCCATCTTTTCTTGGGGCTTAGTTAAGCTAGGTTATTTGACCATCCCAGTTAAGCGGTATACGTTTTAGCTGTTCTAAAAGGCAGTTTTTACCTGTGTTTGGATGCTTAAAGGATGCAGCCAGTCCCCCTTATGATGCTCAATCAAACCTCTCAGTTTCTAGGTCTTTTGTTGTTGTTGTTGTTGTTGTTGTTGTCATCGTGTTTAGCGCCTGTTCTGCTCCTACCTTCTCTTCAGCACTGCCTCCAGGTCGACCTCCCAGTGCACATTGTAGCCTGGTGGTGGCCTGAGGCACTGTAAGCAGACCCCTGCAGTGTCCAGGTGGCCCAGGAGCAAAGAAGTCTCCCTGGCAATGTCTAGAATTGAAAACGAGCTTCCCACCTTCCCAAAGCAGCACAGGCGAGGTTTAGAAAATTGCCTGTTAAAATTCTTTGAACAATAGGTGGTGCCTAATCAGATCCACCGCCTTCCCCTTTAAGCTGCTTGATTTGTCTGAATACCAAACCGGGAGTAGGGGTGCTGCCCACGGGAGATGGAGTTTCAGGCTGCCGGGGCAGCAGGGGTAGCTGTTGGGTAACTTTTATCCTGGATTCAGAAGTTTATGAAGTAGACTCATGTCCAGCAATGGAGAATCTATTTTGATGCTTTAAGTTGTTTGTAACCAAACCAGAAAAGTGTTTTTCAGGGAACAGAGCAGGAGCCCCTGGCATCTCACACCCTTGACCCTGAAACTACCAGAGTGAAAGGTGCCTGCTGGCCATTGCCCAAGCTTCAGGGGCAGGACATGCTGGGGTTGCCAGGTGCAGGTGGCGGGGTGGGGGGTCCCAGAGTAAAGGTTGGCCCGGGTCCCCTCCAAGCATCTGGTGCTCCTTTGTTTATGTGAAGCGCACTGCACTTCTCTACTAATGGATTCATTCCACTGTAAACACAGCTTTCTGGAGACCACCCATCTGGGCGAAGCGCTCAGCTTCAGCACCGCAAGCGCAGAGTTTCCTAGTCCCCATGTCCAAGCGGCGCCTTCAGAGTACTGGCAAAGCTGCGAGAGCTGCATTCTGTAATGATGAACAGAATGCAAACATTAAATGTCACTGCTTTTTGCCTCCAAATACCATGTGCTAAGCGTGCAGCTCACTGTTGCCAGCGTTGCCCTCTGCTTCCCTTCCTGAGCAAACGGACGTGGGAGAGCCCTGGTGCTGTGGTGTGGGCAGCTGATGGGGGGGGGGGGGGGGGCGCAGGAGGAGCAGGAGAGCACAGTGCAGACCTTCCAGCACAGCAGTGACTGCCTTGTCTTCTCTTTGCTTCCTAGGAATATAAACAGAAGCTGGCCCGGGTCACCCAGGTCCGAAAGGAGCTCAAGTCTCACATCCAGAGCTTGCCAGACCTTTCCCTGCTGCCCAACGTCACAGGGGGCTTGGCCCCTCTGCCCTCTGCAGGTGACCTGTTTTCAACCGACTAGGACGGACACCTTATGGCCCCAGATTCCCATCTGTACCAGCAGCAAGAAGGGGCTTACGACATGGTTGGAGATCCCTTCTAGCTCCTGATTCTGCCCCTGCCTCTACCCGGCCCCCCGCCCTGGGGGAAGCGCAGAGCTCCGGCTCTCCTCAGCAACCTCTCGTGCGGAGCGCCCGCAGAAGAGTGACGAGTGGGCCCGGGCCCAGTGCACGTTTGAAACGAATACAAACTTTCTCCCACTTCATGTTTTCATGTCCCTGTTGGTTTTCCATTTTTTAGCTCTCTTTTTACACCCAAGAAGTTACCGAAATCATGTGTCCCTCTGGAGCTTTCTGAAGAACGGTGTGTCCACAGGAAAGCAGCTGCACCTCTCTGAGTGGGGGTTGCGCACGGGAGGAAAAGGCTTCCACAGAGGGGCTCTCCTGGCCCACCACCAGCTGCCCCCCAGAGGCCGGAGGCCCCCTGTCGAGCAGCTTTGCCATAAAGAGTTTGCCAAATCTCCCATCCTCCCTTGCAATTACTTCTTAGAGTGCTACCTAATTCTGTAAGCAGACCAGGGAACCCTGCACTAAGATGCCGAGCTGGTCTGGGATGTGTCTGCCCCGTGCAGGGCTGGAGGAGAAGGGATAGACCACCACGCCTGAGTTAAAAAGACGTGGTTTGTTTCAAATTCCTACGTCCGGCCTTCCCAGATCTGAACCCCTGAGTCATAGAGCTTGCTCCTGAAAACACTGTCCTCAGACCCCAACTGGTCACACAGGCTCTGCACTGGTGGACCCCAAAAGAGAAAGCCTCCACATCCCAGCATGCCACGGGGCTGGGCTCGAAGCACACACTAAACTTAACCCGTGGGTGGACACGTGTCCAGAGCCTACCACTCTGTTTGCTCGTCTGCCAGCCACTACCTGGTACTACCCGTTGTGACTCTGAGGATGAGGACTTGCATCAGATGTCAGGGGCAGGGGGGGGGAGAGACACTAATCTAGGGGTTTTAATTCCATTATCATGCTAGCTGACGTTATAGCCGTATATTGTGGCTAGGAATTTTATCTTGCTTCTAGTAAAGGTTAGGCCAGCTACATCACCCTAATTGGGCAGACCTGTTTTTGAAGTTGGGAAGGGGAAAACAAAAACAGTGTGCCCCAAGAAGAGGATAGGAGTGGAAAGCTGAAAGGGCATTCAGCAGAGAGGAGCTTGGGGGATTTTGAGTGGCTGCTACAGCCGAGGTGGCCCAAAGCTGTTGGTGATGTGTGATTTCACACATTAAACATGCTTGTTTGTAAAAGTCTTGACAGGCTTGCCCTCAAGACGCTCTGCTGGCCAGGAAGTGGCCCGGGGCGCGTGTCGTGTCGCTGTAGCTGTGTAGAGCCTCACAGGGAGCAGTGTGGCGGCTGCTGAGGTTGGAGTTGGGACTGAGTGTTGGCTTGTTGACAGCCTGTTCTGCCTCTGTTCAATGAGGAAGCCAAAAGTCCACTCTCCGAGAGTCCGCAGGGCAGTGGGTGGGTGGTTTTACTAAAGGTGTAAGGTAGAGCTTCCTCTCTGCTGTTAGGGCACGTGCTCCCCAGTCCCTTCAGAGGTGCTGGTGTGCGCCACCACTCCTGGACAGACACGTCTCCAGTATTCTCTGCTCTCTGCCACGGCGTCAACATGCCTCCAACTGCATACCACCCGGCAGGGTGCAGTGAGTGAGGCTCTGTTCAGCTCGGTGAAAATAACCATAACATAATGGGTTCCTCCTGTGCTAGGTTTCACCTGAGTCTAACCAGCAATTGGTGCATAGTTATTACAGCCAGAGAAAGAAATGAAGTTATAGCAATTATGTAAATGAGTATGTTGGCCTCTTGACACCTGTTACTACTGCACTTCCTGTGAAAAAGTTAGTTTTTCCAACCACCACCACCATCCCCTCCTTTAATGAAATGCTTTGTTTTAAAAAATCTTTAATTCTGCTCACCACATCCTCCTAGAAGTGTGCTAGCTTCAGTTGTTTAATTTAAATGACTCTCCTTGGCCTTGTGAGGTGATTTGAGGAGGGCAGGGTTTGTGTTCTGTGGTTTGTTCTTGGGGCATCCAGAGGTTCCGAAGGATCTCTCTCTCCTTTAGGTCAGTTTCCTCAGAAAGTCTCCAATCTTCCTTTGTTTTTGTTTTCTTAAAGAATATTTTTAAAGCTGAAATTTGTATATTAATTTAGGACTTTATTTAGAAGTATAGGCTGTCGTGGTGGCAGCAGTATATTCTGAAATGTCTCATAGATATATATTTTTGAATAAAGACGGTGTTGTTGAAAACATTAAGTGACGGTTCTCTTCATTCCCCATTGCAGGGAAGTGTAAAACTTTCCTTGGAAGCAGTGAGTGATTCGTAATCACCAATAGAGATTGTGCTGTCTGCACAGAATCCTGTCCCTCGGGAGTTTTTGCGCCTGTTAGAGCCTCATAAATACTTAGCGCTTGCATAGTACTCTGTGGTTCTTCTCCAGGGCTGAGTTAGCTTGAATCAGCCATTCCACCCAGTGCCCAGGAGCGGTACCTCTAGTTTATCCTCAGTGTGCAGAAGCAGGAACTGACAGCGGTTACATGACTGGGTCGCTGGAACCACACAGCCAGGCTCTGCGATTAAAACTGGGAAGTTCTTGGATGGCAGCGCTCTTACTCTCACCACGAGGCCTCCCGGAATGGTTGGTCTGGGGCAATACATGGAAAGCTATGCTTTAAGAGTTAAAAGGAGAAATGCAAGAGAGTTGCAACCCCAAGCAGTATGTCTCAGCAACATATTGATAGACTGCTTTGTTGCTCATTTAGACTTCACGTAAGTCTTGTTGCCTGTACTGTTTGTTTGTTTTGGGGGTAAGGGTGGGTGCTGTAATGTTTAAAATAATGGAAAACAAAAGGTTTGCAATCAGTCCTTTGGAAGCAATGGGTAAGATAGAAAGATCATTTTAGCCTTTTCACTGGATGAGCACATCACTTGCCACGAAAAAGATTAGTCATTTATCCTGTGATGCCCAGCAAAACTGAAGCAGCCCACCGCCCAGGATTAGGGAACCCAGAGATTAGGAAACCCGAATTGTGTTTTAAGATATGACGGTTGAATGTAACCACGTGAAGCTTCGGGAGACAAGGTCTCCTGCATGTCCCCAGGTTTCCAGGCCTAGTTAATGTCTTCACAACTGCCTATAAACAGTCCGTAATTCCTTAGTTTAATTAGCATTCAGGCTGCACAGAGCGATTCTGAGGTCCTCGGCTGACGATGGAGTGACCTAGAAGTTCATGAATCTGTCACAATGCCCAGCCTTGTGATTAGAGCCATTAAATCTGTGGCCTTCCCTGTGGGAATCTCTCTTTTTATCTCTGAGATGTGGTATTGGGCAAAGTTCTTTCTAGGTGCCCTGCCAGCCCTGAAAGCGTAAGATTGTGTTGCAAAGACGCGGTATATCCTCGGTGCCCCCTGATGGCAGTCCTGGTGGGTGAAGAAATAGCATCACCACTGTGCTGTGTGGTCTGTGTGTGGCCATCCAGACAGGCCCCACTCAAGGTGACCTTAATATGTAGCAGGCCCAAATGTCACCCAGCTCCGCACCATCTTCCTGGTTTTCTCTGTTTGAGCCCTTTGTGGAAGCTGTTTGTCAGTCCGTCTCATGGAAGGCTTCCATCCGCCCTCTGTCAAGCACTGTGTCTTTTCTAGCCATTGGTCTTTCCTGGTGACGTATCCCAAGTAAACAAGACAGCCTCTCTCCTCACTTCTAAGGAACATGTGGTTGTGTGCTGAGGCGAATTTGTTCTTTTATTAGCCCTTTGCGTGTTCGATACTGTTTGCCAATACCACAATTCCAGTGTATTGCTCTGCCTGAATCATTTTATTGGGGGCTCGTACAGCTCATCACAATCCATCCATTGTGTCAAGCACATCTGTACATACGTTGCCATCATCCTTTTCAAAACATGTTCTTTCTACTTGAGCCCTTGGCGTTAGCTCAGTTTTTTCTCCACCCCCCTCCCTCCTTCCATGAACCCTTGAGAATTTATAAATTATTATTGTTTTCATATCTTACACCAACTACTGCCTCCACCCATGTTTCTGTTGTTCGTGTCCCCCCCTGGGGGGTGGCACTTATTGTCAGTCATTGTGATCGGTTCCCCCTTTCCCCCCCACTCATGGTATCGCTACTATTATTGTACCTTAGGGGTTTATCTCTGCAGGATTCCATGTGTCGAGAGCTCTTATCTGTATCTGTAAGGTTTATGATAATGGCGGGGGAGGAAGCATTAAAGAACTAGGAGAATGTTGTATGTTTCCTTGGTACTATACTGCACCCTGGCTGTCTCATCCCTTCCTTGTGACCCTTCTATGGGGGAGAGGGGTTTGGGTTTCCATTCTACCCCACCCTCCTCATTCACATTGATGTGATTGTTTGCTATGGGTCTTCTGATGCGTGAGACCTGATCCCATCGACACCTCGTGATCACACAGGCTGGTATGCTTCTTCCATATGGGCTTGTATCTTCAAGCTTTTAAGACCCCAGACGCCGTATCTTGATATCCAGGCACCATCAGCTTTGTTCACCACATTTGCTTATGCACCCATTTTGTCTTCAGCGATCCTGTCGGGAAGGCGAGCATCACTGAATGCCAAGTTATTAGAACAAAGTTCTTGCATTGAGGGAGTACTCAAGTAGAGGCCCAATGTCCGCTGCATACACCTTAAAGCATATGTGAGATCCTGAAAATCATTATAGTCTGTAAAGGTCAGAACATAAGAGAGGCAGTGTCAGCGGCGTGTGGGAACCACAGTGGCCTTTAACCTGAGGTCAGAGGAACCAGATGGTGCCAGCTACCACTACCAACCACTCAGAGCAGGTCCCATTTAGACTGGGTAAAAACCAAAAGCAAAAAATTCAAATGAACAAAAAATCACACTGATTTAAGCGACTAGAGCAGCCCCTAAGATAATTGCCCTAAAACAATCTTCTAACTTGAAACTGAAGACGCTCGTGATGGTCACCTTCCAGCCAATGAATAGATGGGCCTCTGATTACACCGGGACAGAATTTGTGCTCCTTGAACAAGACCAAAGGGGTAGCAATTGCCCAAAACCAAAGAAGAGAAGGCAAGGGCAGGAAAGGCGGGTGAGTGGACCTGGGGGAAACAAACTGTGTCGGGACTGTGTGTATGACCTGTTGATTAGAAAATTACTTGGTTACGTAAACTTTCACCTTAAACACCGTAAAATAGGTGTTGTGTCAAGACTAGGAAGTTGGAGGTAGATTTGGCCACACACAATCTGCATGTGGTTTTTGGAGGATCCCGTTTTCTAGCCTGCCGATGCTGTCTTCCTTTGCCCTCAGATAATTCATCTGGGTAAGTCATTCCTCATCGCCATCGCTGTGGGATTTTCCATTTAAAAATCATTCTTCCACTCAGAGGCACAGATTCAATTAAGAATCCATTATTCTCCCGAACAGTACATTGCAATTCATACAGCTTTATGTAGTGTTGAAAGCCCAGTTTGATCAATTTTTTAGAACCTGAAATAGTTATTTTGCATTAAAAATTCATTTCTACCACTGGTGTAATAAATATTTAAATTAGCAGTATGAGTTAGAATTTATCTTTTTTTTTTTTTAATGACTAAGGCACTGGTGGCCAGCGATAACCCACATCTTTTTTTCTCTTTTAGTAATAATTTTTGGGGAGGGCTCTTTCAAATCTTATAACAATCCATCATTCAATTGTATTGAGCACACTTGTACATATGCTGCCATCAACATTTCCCAAACATTTCTTTCTACTTGAGCCCTTGGTATCAGCTCCTCTTTTTTCCCCCTCCCACCTTTGTGAATCCTTGATCAGTTATATGTTATTATTGTTACTTCAACTCACATCTTCTGATCTCA